TGTGCATGTGTGTGCGTCCAGGGAGGATGGGGATTGGCTCTTGGAGATCTCAACATGCACACCGGCATTCGCTTCTGTCTGCGAGAGGCTGCCTCTGGTGCACAATTTAGAATTGTGAAAGTACATCTTCAGAAATGCCTGCGACTCTGGGCTCCGTTTTCCAGACAGGTGCAGAGGCATGCTCTGCAGAAGCAGTAGATGTAATCAAATCGTTTGGGTGGCCATCGGAAGCCAAAGTAATAATTTGGTTAGGAAGCCCAGCCCCGATCAGATGGCCCACTTTCATAACTCCCTAGTGTATTTAGCATTTTGGTCCTTTCCATCTTAGGAAATGTGACGCATTGCACTTTGGTGACTTGTGACGAGGTGTTTATATCAGCTTGATCTACTTTTGTCATGTCCTAAGCTTAGGAATCCTGGCATTTTTTGTTTTTATGGAAGTGCTGATGAAGCGGTTTTTCCCCAGCCGCACCTCCCTTTCTCTGCAAGCCTTTGTGTGGAGATGCTGAGGGAGGGTTTTCCCCCAGCCGCACCTCCCTTTCTCTGCAAGCCTTTGTGTGGAGATGTGATAAGCCCCTGGGGTGCCCAGACAGTGGCAGACAGTAGCATTTGTGTGAGCATCTCACAATTCCTTTCTTCACATGCAAGATGGGGAGCACAGAGAGGAACTCTCTGTCCATTTCCTCCTGTTGGGTAATGTGTTACTAAGGGGCAAAGTGCACAAGCATGCGAGGGGGGTGGGTGCCCTCTTGGCGGGGAGAAGATAGGAGTCTGTAACGTATGATAAAGTAACGTTCACTGTTGGGCTCTTGTTTTTAAAGGGACATGGCAATCCGTGCGGGGCTCATCCTGGAAGGGAGCCACTTGAGTCACTGCGATGCCTAAGGATCAGGTGAGTAAGCCACAGTGGTGGGTCTCCTTCGCTACAGCACTGAGTAGCTCTTGGTTTCAATGGCTCTTTGGAATGTGTAGGGGCGCTTGCACTCTTTCTACAGGCCCAAGTGAATGTCAGTCCATTTGAAGAAACAATGGCTAGTGAAAGCTCTCGTCTTTGCCTGCAACCTGTGTATAGCCCTCCCATGTGGTCAGAGGAGAGAGGGAGGCTGGATAGAGACTGAGATGTGTCTGAGGGCCTGATGGACCTGTCTAACTCAGTGGTCTTTGGGTGGGTGGGGTCTCTGCTCCCTCTTTCCCGGAGGAAGACCAGCAGCCCAGCTGTCCTGACTCCAGCCCCAGCTCTGTCGATGCTTCAGTCTCTTTCTGGCCCCGATCGGTGCCAAGGCAAGAATCTGGCTGGGCAGCTTCTGTCGGGAGTGCCTTCAGGGCACCGGAGACCATTTGTCCAAGATTTGAAAATGTGATTGCAGCATCTTCCTCCGCTTGGGTCTCATTCTGAGGAGAACCAAGCTGTTTATATCTCTATGTGTTTCCTGCAGGTCCATGGAGGCTTAGGGTCTAGGAGGCTAAGGTATAGGCAGAAATCAATAATGGCATGTTTTTCACAGTCACCCTCATGCACTGTTATTGTAAGAGCCTTCCCGCTGGGCTCGCGGGCTCCTTCCTTGAAGACTTGTCTGGCCAACATTCTGCTGTTGGCCTTCAAGGCCTCGTCCAGTCAGACCTCAGCCTCATAGTCCAGCCTTGTTTTCTGCCTCCCCTCTTTGCGTTGGCTCCAGTCCACCTGCTCCTGGAATAGATCCCCGCTTCTGGGACTCACTGTTCCCTCTGAGAAGCTTCCCTCACTCCCCAGGGCAAAATCGGCGCCTCTTCCTCCTCTGCATTCCCATAGTGCTTTGTT